TTCTTTCTTTCTCTTTTTTCTTTTTCTTCCTTCTCCTTCTTCTTTCTTCTTCTTTTTTTCTTTTCTTTTTTTTCTTCTTCTTCTTCCTTCTGCTTCTTCTTCTTTTTTTTTCTTTTTTCTCTCTTTATTTTTCCTTTTCCCCTTGCTCCTCAGAGCTGTGTCAGGACAGAGCCACGGCTGAGGTGTGGGTCTCCCAGCCTCGTCCTTCGTTGAGCCCCGCGCTGAGGGTCAGGCAGGGCAGGCTGGGGAAGGGCTTTGGGGATAAGTGTTGGGGTCACATTTTGCACCTCTTGCCCACTTAGTTTCCCATCAAGAAGCAAATTAAAAAAAAAAAAAAAGAAAAGATAAAACCATACCAGTCCCATTTCATTGCCTCAGTTTTAAATATTTATTTAAAGTTCAGGGAGGGGTCAGGAAAGGAGAAAAGCTTCAATATGAACAAATGGTAACTCCAGCCTCAAGAAAACACTCAAAAGTGACAGTGGGAGGACACGAGAGGGAGAAACTTGGGGATGTGTGTGGAGGGGGAGGCAGCGAGCTGAGCGATGGTGATTTTGGCCGGGGGGGCCAGGGAGGGTGTGAGGTATTTCTGAGCAGAGGCAGGGCTGTGCGGAGGGTGAGGTATTCGGGACAGAGCTTGTGGACCTTTTCTGAGGGTTGTTGGAGACCAACCAGCAGACAGCAGTGGGGGAAAAAAAAGAAAAAAAAAGAATACACAAAGAGAGACTCACATATAATTTTTTTTTTTCCTCAAAAAAATAAAATCCATAGTCCATATGAGACATGAAAACTCCAAACAGGCACTGAAGCATTTCTGATACAGTACAGCTCCGATTACATCAATATTATTCCTTATATAGAATTAAAGATTACCATAATTATCCTCTTTAAAAAAAAAAAAAGAAATTCCTCCAAATTTACATATAGAGACTAAATTTCTACAAAACTTAACAAAACAAAACCCCTCCAAGCCCGGCAGGGTTCTGAAACAAGGTACCACCACGTCAGTCTTGACAGAGGGGCCAGACAGAAGGGTTGCAGAGCTGGGTTTAAATACGAGCTTAGGCCAGGGAATCGCTGCGCGCGCAACCCGGCACGGCCGCGCGGCCAACGCGAACGGCAGCAAAACTAGTTACGTGACAACCGACTCAAAAAAAGAGCTCTCTCTGAGGCTCAATGCTTCCAGATGAGCTGGATCCCTCGCTCCCCTCCCAAAGCAGTGAAGTGCTGATTAAAAAAAAAAAGAAAGGAAATTTGCTTTTAAAATATCCTGTAAGTTATTTTGGACACGGTTTGAGTTGTCGCGCGCAATTGGCATCCACGGGACTAAAGGATCCCTTTCAGGGTGACTGTTTCTCTGATTTAGCTGTAGGTTGTAACCCTCTCTCTTCCTAGAGAGGTGGTTCCATGGGCTTTTTTCTCTTTTTTGGGTCTGTGGCAAGACACTGTAGCACCTTCACAACCTTAAATAAAGTCATATATATAAAATAACACACGTTTTTAAGAGCACCAGAGATTTCACAGTGAGAGGTAGAAACAAATCAGACGAGCCCATCCCTCTCTCTCTCTCTCTCTCTCTTTTAGCACCAATCTCTTCCCCTCTCCTCCTTCCACTCCCCCTCTCGGCTTCGGGACTCCCTCCTACCCCAACACCACACAGGAGAAGGGATGTTGATTAAACTCACCCACGGAAGGAGGAAGTTAAGGTGGTGGGTTTTTTTTTTTGTTGCTTTTTTTTTTTTCTTTTTCTTTTTGCTTTAAATAATATAATATATATATTTTGTTTCTTCTAATATTGCACATCAAAATGCTTCCGGTACACAGAGCAGCCAGACTCAACCTGCGGCTCCGCCTGGGAGACCTGATGCAGCACGGGGCCATCCAGAAGGCGACAGGCTCCGAGAGGGAAGCTCTATCTTTTAATTACTTTTCAATGGAAAGAACATTTGGTAACTCAGGAACCAGGTCAGACAAAAATGGGGATAGTGGGGAGGGAGAGAAATAAAACAAAACAAAAAGACCAAACCCACACGCTTGCAAATTGCTTGAGGTTTCTCTCAACGTTTTCTTTGGTCATGGAAAAAATCTTTGTGTGGAACTGCTTGCAACATCTCGTCCCCTGATCCCTTTTCACTGTTCACGTCCCGACTGATACCCGCTTCCCCTACGTCCTTGCTGTTCCTCCTTTCAACAACCTGCTGAGTTCAGTAGATCACGGGTTCTTTGAGACCTTGAGCCAAAGGCTAGAGCAAGACTTGACCCAAAAGACACAGCCCAGCTGTCCTTGCTGCAGAGAGGTGGGAGAGTCTGTCTAAAGGCAGAGGCCAAACGCGGGGTCGAAGCCTCGGAGCCCCGTTTCCATGGCTTTGTTCAAAGGAAGCACACGGGGCCGACCTCGAGGTGATATTGCTTTCCTGGCTCGGATGGGGGAAGGTTGTAGATGTTGACAATTGGCAGCTGCTGAGGGTCCTGCGTCCGAAACGAAAAGAGAGTCCGATGCCAGCGTCCATCCTTGATCTGCGCGGGGAGAAAGGACAGAGACAAAGCTGTTCAACCGGGGCTTGAACCCGGCTGGAAAGGAATGCGTTTGGTGGGGTGTAAGCTTGAAAAGCCCCGCGTTGGACAAGGAGCTGCCCTTTGGGCTGAGCAGGTCTTGGGTGAGGCTTAGAAAGCCATTTGGGAAATGCTTGATCCGGGTCAAGTTGGTGGAAATCGAGCTTCACCAAATATGAACTCCTACTGCTGGGACCCCGAAATGCAGACATGGGGTTACCGGCTCAGCGTGGCATCGGGCACGAGCCAAGGCCACCACCTTGGCCATTCTCCCTTCTGCCATTTAACTGCTGCTACACTCAACATGTAACTTTGAAATTTAATTTTTTGCTTTTTGTTTGAAGGCCAGCCACTTAACAGGAGCTGCTATAGCACCCCGGATGGAAAACTTAAAGGGGTGAAGCGGCACACTAGACCCTTCTCCCCCTGTTTTTGTAGAATAAGCTTCATGGGTGTAACTCGAGTCTCGTTGTACACCCTGAGTGGTCTCAGCCTTGCAGTTCTCTCCAGCTCTCCTGTCTTTCGCAGCAACGTACCTTGCAATCATCAGCTGCCACTTCTGGCCTGAGCTGCCCGTCTGCCTCGAACATCTGCCCGTTCCAGGCCCTGAAGCGCACGGCTTTTTCCGAAGGTCTCTCGGACGAGCCTTCCCGCCAGACGGAGGTATTCAGGCAGTGGATGGTGATGTGCTGCACCACCTCCGAGCTCAGCAGGCGGAGGAAGTTCATCTGGACTCTACCGATGTCAAAATCCAGCTGCGAAGGTGACAGAGGTGTTAGAAGGGGGGAGGGATGGAGGGAGCAGTGGGTTTAGTGCAAGATGTGACAGCCAGGGTGGTCCCTGTGCCCTACTTCAGTCTGGAGGTGGCCGTGCAGGGCTGTCCAGAGCTGGATCTGGTGCCACCATGGTCATAAGGGCCAGATGCCAGCTCAAATCTGGAAAGTGTTCACGGGGACACAAGCAGGTGCTTTATTTTTCAGAACAAGCTGGCTGGCCCTTAAGTAGGAGGAAAATAACATAAACTTTGAAGTCAACACATGCTCCTGCAAAGCAGCGAAGCTGCAGGTTCTACTTAAATCCAGATATTGTTATTGATATTTTTGATACAGGTTCTTCCTCGAGAAAAATCCTGTAGCATTAACTTCACTGGAGACTTGTATATTTAACCTGACCTCACTTTTTCAGGTGGTAGAGAACAATACGCAAGAGTGACCTGAACATAAGTTAATTCAACAAAGCATTTGGGAGCAGCGTGTTTGCAAAATTACTGGCCTCCGTTAAGGTTATGAGTTAATTAAACATTGCTGGAAACGTACGGCTTTGTCTTGACAAGAGTCAATAACAGCCTTAGATAGATTTTCTAACTACAAGAGCAGTTGCAGCTGCGCTAACTCTGCCTTAAGGAGAACCCAGCGTGCTGTGTCACAGCGGTCACTGTCCAGTGTCCTGGCACAACACACCCCTGGGTAAATATTTTGTAATAAAAGTATGGGAAATGCTGTGCTGGGGTCGAGCCGTGTGTACCTTGGAGACGGTGATGGGGCTGAGGCATGTCTGGCCACCATTGGTGAAGTTACAGGTGACCTGTATGGTGTCTGAGGAACAGCCAAGATTTGGGTCAATCCAGTAGGTACCTGGAGAAATGGAGGATTTGGGGATTAACAAGGACACAACCTTTTTCTGCGAATGGGAAAAGGAAAGTTTTGATTTCTGCATTCCTGGTCCCGGGGAAGGGAGACCAGTTTGGCTGGTGTGAAAGGGCGCTATGGAAGACGCAGCCTTTGCACACTCAGGGCTTCCTACCATCGTTCATCTTCTGTTCACAGTTCATGAGGTCTCGACAGATGCGTGCAGGGTTTTCCTTGGTTCCCAGGGGTCTTTTGATGCTCTGAATGAGGTTGCTGAGGTAGTGTAGAGTCTTAAAGATCTCCCCTCCGTGGTCCAGCATGAGAAGGTCTGGGTGTTGGTAACCCTGGAGAGAAAAGGAAGCAAAGTCAGCTGTGTGGGAGGCACCAAGGTGCTGTGGCTGCAAGGATTTCTGCTTTCTCTGTGGGGAAACTCAGTGAGTCACAGTCTGTGCTGTCTGGGATCAGTAAGCTACAGCCCTTGCACCGTCCTGAACGGGACATCTCTGAAGCGCTGCCAGAGTCACGAGGTCTGAAGCTTCACACACTAGAACCATATCCTTTAACTGGATCTTTGCACGCATAAACCCCAGATGTTCCAGAAAAACAGAGCTTTGTGTGTATAAACTTTAAGCCCACAGAAAGAACAAGCGAGGCTGTGACCATTCCCAGCCTCCAGCTCCAGCAAAGACCAGTGGGTTCAAAAGGATTCTCGTACCTCTGTCTTGAGCACGGTGCTCGAGTCGATGAGCGTCCGGAAAGCTGCCCCAAAGCCATCTTGTTGCTAGTGTGGGGTGAAAAAGATGGCAACTGAGATTGTTAGAAGCTGAACATGCCCCGATGCAAGCAAATGCTTCTCAGTCTAGGGTTGCGATTCAAGCATTGCTCTGCTAACACCGCATCTCTTGCTGGACCTGAGTGTGTGTCTTCAGGGTCCCAGCAGCTCTTTCTGGATGTCCCATCAGCACTTTAGCTCTGCGTGACTTATTATCATCGTTAACAAACATACAGAAAACGGCAACTTACAAATGAGGTTGGAATTCCTGGCAGTCCCTAGAAATCAAAGCAAGAAAAGAGGCATCAGTGAGAAAGACAGGCGGTCACTCTTGCAAACATATTCAGTCCTGTCCTTTTGAAAGCCCCTTTCCCCTGGAGTCCCTCAAGGCAGAGAGGCAACAATGCTGTCTCTATAAAATACTTGGAGATGGTCTGGACTGAAGCGCAAGAAACACTAGTCCATTCACACACACATTTTTGCATGCGAGGAATGGGGCTGAGTTACAATTTCCAGTGAGTGAACAGTCCCTCTGGAGAGTGTCACAGCAATAATTTTAGCTTGTTTCAGTAATGGCTTTGAACTCTATCCACATATACGTACCGGAGGGCCAGGGTGTCCTCGTGGGCCTGGAGGACCCTAAAGACAGAGTGCCATCAGTTAGTGAAATGTCTCCAGTTTAAATTTCCGTCTCTCATGGCTGTCACCAGCATTGATCTGTTCCCTGCTGAAATCCTCCAGATTTTTGACATCTTACAGCATCTTCTCCCTCAAATTCTTCTAAAGACAGGCTCTCCCATTTGCTGGGTGCATCTGCCTCCACCTGGTCCATTCCGGCTGCATCCCTTTTTCCCAGCCCTTAGCTCCTTAACTGTCATTAATGCCATGTCCCCAGGTACTTATCACATTCCACGTGTGCATATTTACCCACTCTGCAGCTTTACATCTGTTAAATGCAACAGTTCTATTTAAATAATACAAGATAGTAGTCAGAGAAAGTTATTTCCACTACTTACCCTTGGACCTTGCAGACCCTGCAGGAAAGAAGAGGAAAAAAGAAGAAAAAGGGAAAG